GGCCGTCGCCATCTTGGCAGCGCGTCACTCCTGGGTAATCAAAAATGGGCAAAGAGGCGGGAGTTGGCTGCTGAAACCACACCCACCCACCTCGACGGTGGTGACAGCAGCGGCAATCCACCTGTCACTCAAGTGGCCACGCCCTTAATTATTCAGAACTTTAAGGCTTAATATAATTTAAACGGATGAGTTATAAAAAAATTCACCCCCCTCACAGTTGTCATGAAGGGCAAAATTAGCTATATAGACCAAAATCATTTTTTGAACCAGGCTGTAAACATGTTTTTTCTGCTGTAAAGTTGGGCATTTTAACATGGGGAGTCTATGGGATTGACTCCCTTTTGCAGCCAGCCTCTAGCGGCCAGTCGATGAATTACAGTTTAAGTCACTTCCGTGTTGGCTTCACGAGAGAGAGCGGAAGGTTGCCGCTTGGTTCTGTCACATTGGTGACGTTGACCAATAGCAGCACAGAAGCCCTTTCATACACAGGTTTCAAACATGGCAAAACGAAAGAGATGATGGTGCTGCTAGGTGGGATTATGGATCCTGCCTGTATGATGTGTCATCGAGGGACTACCACGACAGAAGAAAGAAAGAAAAATGCTGGCGAACTATAGCGGAAGCGCTTCAGCAATGTTTACACTCGTTTTCGGAAGTCAGTCGCTAGTTCCGCCTTCTCGATGACATCACACGCGTCGTTAAAGACAGCACGCGATGAATGGTCGGGAAGCAAAGTGTAGTCTGACATGTTTCTTGTCCACGCCACAACAAGATTTTAGGAGTCAAAATCGTGTAATCTGACACAGTGACTATCGTGACCGACAAAAATATCGTGTAGTCTGAACCCGGCATAAGCCTCCTTCAAAGACCTGACATAGTAGTGATTTCTGATGCCTGAAAAAAACGCTCTTTAACGTCAGATCTTACGCATTCAGTCTGATTTGTGAATAAATTGGTTTTGTGAACCAGTTAATAAAAAAGTACTTTATTTTCAATTTCTGAAAGATTACTTGACTTGAAACGGCTGTTGAAATCCTGACAAACTTCCAGGAACATTTACGCCGTCTGTATCTTGGTTCTGTCATTTTTATTTATTCCACTGCTTATTTTTGTTCTTTAATGTACAGACCGATTACGACGACTTCATAATCAGTCAATAAATGAGGAAGTATTGTGTTTAAAAGAACTGAAATTAATATGATACTGAAACTGGTATGAAATATTGTAAAATCCGTCTAGTTATTGCTATTGACTAAAGGTTTCGGTGACAACCCTTCATGGTCCTGCGATATGTTAAAGACACTTGCTTACCCAACATCATAAAGCACCTCTGTTTAGAAAGGGTATTACAAACTCCCTGAGAGTGAATGACTGCGGAATTAATCATTAATCACAACTGAAATACAAGAATAATACACACAGCTGACACGATATCCTACAAGAAACAACCTAACCCTGCTGGTTCAGGAAAATAGATTTTGTAACTAATGCTTAATACATCTATACTGAGGGTCTGTGAGGCCTCCTCTCTTCCTTCATATCTGGATGATCCTGCAGTTAATGTGTGGGAATATTGTATTGCTTTTTCAGGTGGTGCCATCAGCATATTTCCAAACATCCTTCAGTGACCAAACTGCAAAAACACTTATCTCCCTGCCAGCTGACAGGAGCTGTTCAAAAGAGATTTTAGAGTGGCAGAATAGAGGACCAGAGTCCAATCAGACAGCGAGGACTGAGAGAGGAGCCCAGGAGAGCGTAGCCACGGGAAGAATAGAGGATACTGTTGGGCTGAAATTACATTAGCAGAATATAAAATGTCCTGGCAGAGGAGGAGAGGAATGTGCGAGCACAAGAACACTACGCATGTTTTTGAAGGGAAAAGGGACTTTTTAAAGACCGATATACCACTAGAAACATTCCACACCTGGCATGTGGCACAAAATGTGCTGTAATCTACAGACGCATTCATGACATACAGCGTGAGGACAGTTTCTGCAGCGAGACGAGATAAATATTGGGAGCATCTCAAAGGCTAGTGAGCTGCCTACCCACACAGCATTTCTGGGCATCCGTCTGAAAGAATGCTGCCTACATAGACAGCATTCTTGTGCATCACAGACGGGTTTGGAACGCCCAAGCAATCGCTGCCTACCATGATGGTATCATTTGGAATGTACAGCAACTCAATTAAATCAGTTTTATTTTCACCCAAATTCTGCATTTTACATTTTAATTGTTAAGTGACATTTAATTGTAACAATCACAAATGATGTGTAATCAACTGAATTCGTAAAATAATTTAATCTATTAAAATGTTAACAATAACAGTACCCTATGAAAGTAGTTTTATCTAGAATCTGTTTAAATGTAATACAAATAAATGATCAATATAAAAGATTAATTACATTGAAATTTGAACAATTCCTTTCATTTCTTGGCAAAGCACTGCACAAGAGAGGTTTACTGGTTAAATTCAAACATGGATGAAAAATTGTGTGATATTACTGTTATTGTGTGATATTACTTTGAGAAGTACATTCTACTGTTCAATAGTAATATATTCATGTTATAATTTCAGGTTAAACAAAACTTATTTTGGGGGGGTTTGCATTTTTGTTTCATCAAATGAAATGCTGGAGAGCTGACTCTAAAGTAGTGCATGTGTTCATGTCACATTGCACAGTTCTACTTTTGATTTATCCATTCAAATTTGGCCGGGATTTATATAGTAAATTCCATTTTAACGACTGGATTGCACAATTCCTTCTGCATTTTCTGCATTATGTAAATCATAGGGCCCTATTAGGACCCCAAAGGGGTGTTTGGCATGAAACAAATGCAGCCTAACGACAGTATTTGTGGGCATCACAAGAGTGTTTAAAACTATAAAACATGCTGTCTAGCTATACTACATTTTTGGCCATCAAAGGTACATTTTGGACAAATACTGCTTACATGGACAATATTTTTGAGCATTGTTCGGAAGTTTTGAACCAATACCGGCGACCGATATTGCACATAACTTTCATTTGTAATGACCGCTTGAATGGTCTGGGTAGACCATTCACTAGGTTTGAAGACACAATCAGAGTTGAGGACTGAAAAAGGTACAAACCTTTGAAGCTGAGTCCTTGAAGTCGTTGAGATTGTCCTGTAGGAATGAATGGAGATGACAGATGAGCTGGAGAGGATGGCACACAGCAGGAGAAAGGCTGGGGGAGGCTGGCCGTCAATCAACACATCCCCAAAGACCTTCAAAGACTAGAACTTTTACATGGTTAGAGACGAAGAGACCGGACTATCGGAGCCTAACGCTAGTCTGCGCTGGACTATCTCAACCTGCATGTGTTTGGAGAACGTCACTGCACTGAGCATCATAGGTAAATGTCTTAACTCGTATCTTTGGTCTAAAATAGAGCATACATTCTGTGGATTAACTATGGGAGTTGATGAAGATCACAAAACAAGCTAAACTCAGCTAGGATTCATAAATGAAGGGAATAGAAGGAGGTCATGTACACTTTGGCATGAGGTCTCACTCATAGACAATTGCAACAAGATTCCTGGTCACAGATAGACAGATCCCTCTGGGAAGGCCATGCCCACACTTTTTTTCTTGGTTGCCCTTCTCTTTATGCAGTAGTTGCTGGTGACGCGGCTTTCTCTGGATGCTGAACGAACCGTCTGCTGGTTGCACGGATGTCTGGGAAGCTCTCGTCGAAAACCCTTCCACGAATCGGGTGTGGAAAAAAAAAAGCAAAAAAAAAAAAGCAAGCAGTGGCAGTGAAGAGAAGCATATTCCTGTCTGGGATCCCAGATCGAGGAAACATTCCAGCTCCTGCAGGAGTCCCCGACGTGGAGGAGATCGGACGCGATCAGGATTTCTTCCAGCGGAAACATTCTCTTGTCTCGAAGTTTCGTTTAAAAAGCAAAAGGACTGATTCTTATTTATTTCTCTTACGATTTGCTTCCTCAGCAAGTAATATGCTATGATTCAAAAAGGGAGGGCGCTTTACAAAAATAAATATTTATATTTACAATCTCACAAAAAGTATGGCGTACGACAAGGAACAAAACTTGTGAGGCACTTGGGTAGATTCTCTTAGCATGTAAAAGCAAAATCGAAGCATGTGCTAGAATTTAAGATTTTGGCAAGTCCTTGGAAATTTCTCTTAAAAATCTGACATCTATTGAAAAAATACATCTCCCAAAAAAAAAAAAAAAAAAAAGTCCAAAAGATGCCGAAAAAAAAAGCAAGCAGTGGCAGTGAAGAGAAGCATATTCCTGTCTGGGATCCCAGATCGAGGAAACATTCCAGCTCCTGCAGGAGTCCCCGACGTGGAGGAGATCGGACGCGATCAGGATTTCTTCCAGCGGAAACATTCTCTTGTCTCGAAGTTTCGTTTAAAAAGCAAAAGGACTGATTCTTATTTATTTCTCTTACGATTTGCTTCCTCAGCAAGTAATATGCTATGATTCAAAAAGGGAGGGCGCTTTACAAAAATAAATATTTATATTTACAATCTCACAAAAAGTATGGCGTACGACAAGGAACAAAACTTGTGAGGCACTTGGGTAGATTCTCTTAGCATGTAAAAGCAAAATCGAAGCATGTGCTAGAATTTAAGATTTTGGCAAGTCCTTGGAAATTTCTCTTAAAAATCTGACATCTATTGAAAAAATACATCTCCCAAAAAAAAAAAAAAAAAATAGTCCATAAGATGCCGAATTCCCCCCACTGCTCTCCTACAACAGCTGGGCTCCAGAGGCCTCCTCTCAAACTCCAGTGGGTGACGCGGAAGGACGAGGAAGGTTTGGAAAACAAGTGATCTCCGACAGGTAGGGACAAGAGGAAAGAAGTGCACAGCTGTCCTCAGGCCATACTAACCTTAACTGCAGAGCAGTGCGACGGTGACGAGTGCGTGTCAAGCTTTCGTCTTTTTTGCTCTGCTGAGAGAAGAAATACGAGGTTCAGGCTCAATAAATGCTTTTTTTGCTTTAGATTTTGTGTTCTGCAGCATGCAATTTAAACAATATGGACAGACACTCGGGTGAGTGTTTAAAGGAGAATTTTAATTTTAGGGTGAACTAAATCCAAAATCCTTTACGTACTCTTCTTAAAATGAAGAGTTCATTTGCAAAAACCGATAAACGCCACTTTAAAAAAAAAAGAGCTGATTGCCGTGCATTATTCTCCACATATAGCGCGATCTGAACCCTAAACACGTTTTGTCAAAAAAGCCGGTTTTGTTCACTTTCAAGGCATCGCGAGTTCACGTTTCACTGCAGAAGCCGACAAGCGCCCTTGTTGTTTTTGAACAGAAGCCGATAAGTCCATTTTAGCATATTCAGGTCAGGTGACAAGCTACTTTCACTTTGAAAAGACGTGCAAGCTGAGAGGAGTTTCATCAAAGCTGACTAAAAGTGATCGAGGATGGATCATTTCGACAAACATGATGAACCTGTGATATCTTCTTCAAGGCGAAAAACGAAAATAAAAGCGGAAACGTTTTCACGGAAGCTTGCAAAAGCAGCGCGTTACAACGGTGAGGGAAAAGCTCCGTGTAATCACATCCATACAGTTTATGATCACAACGTCTGTCAGGCATCTACATTGTCATCTGAGGAGATTACAAATATTAAACAAGTGTTTTTTTAAACTCTAAAACATGAAATGTGAAGATATCTGCTTTTGCCAAAAAACGACTGTTGGAGTTATCTGCTTTTGCTATAAAACAAACTTTTAATATGTAAAAAAAAAATAAAAAATAAATACTTTCAATGACCTTTAATTTTGTAAATTACCTGTATTTGTTTAAGTTATTATTACTTAATCAAAACAACCCAACTGCATTTGATTGATATTACTTGTAATGCGCAATAAAAAAAAAAAAACATGATTTCTGAAAATAAATAATAAAAATGGAGTTATCGGTTTTTGCAAATGAACTCTTCAAATAAAGTCCAAACAAAGTCAAAGAAGTGTAGTGAAGCATATTTAAGCGAACAGCATCAGGGCCGTCTCACCCCGTTCAGACTCGGCTCCTTCGGATCTGGGCACGAGGGACTTCATGCTTCCGGCCCCAGCATTCTTCTCCACTTTGCTGCCTTCCTTAGTCTTGCTGTCGTTGGACACGTCGCGTTCCTTGGACCACTCTTTTTCGGCGGATTTCCCATCAATCTTGCTCTTCTCTTCCTTCTTGTCATCCTTCCTCTTGTCCTTGTCGGCCTTGGGCGTCTTCTCCTTGCTGTCAGTGGGCTTCTCCTCCTTCTGTTTGTCCTTCCCTCCTGCCTTGGCCTCTGGAGTGCTTCCTGGGTTCTTTTCTTTCTTCTCCTTTTTCTCCTTTGTGGTCTTCTCTTTATCGTCCTTCTCTTTGCTCCCTTTAGTGCTGTGAAGAGATCAGGCATCAACTAAAGTCTGCTGAAATGTTTTTTTTTATTATTATATTTTTGGCTTTGAAAGCATTACAAAGAGAACAAAACAAATGGCTTTCATTCAGGAATATAGAGTAACTGATAAGCTGGAGATGTTCTGGATTGGCACCAGTGATAAAATGTAATATAGCACCACTTAAGATCTTATAAAACCTCATGAATAGTACAGATTGGTCTCCGCTGACTTTAAAGCAACAAATGCTTGAAGTCAAGCCGTTCTTTGGGTAGAGAGTTATGTTAGATAAACTCTTATCTAATGTTAAAATAATGGAGTGAAAAGTAACTAGTAGCTTTAGAATGTGTATACTAGCCTTCCCAAAATGATCTTAAATGCATTAAAAACACAATATGATAAGTTTGATTTAATTACTTTGTCGTTTCAAATTCTCTGTTCTTAGTCTATTAAAAAACAAAGTAAGAAAGAACTTATTTTATTATTAATTTTTTTGGGTCACACTTTAGTTTGGGGACTAATTCTCACTATTAACTAACTATTAGCTACGACTTTTGCCTCAAACTCCTAGTTTGCTGCTAATTAACAGTTAGTAAGGTAGTTAGGTAGGTATGTGGCCAGTAGACTTGTGCCGGTATTCGGTAATGCGATATATCACGGTAATTGATATGCACGATATTGTTATCGTGGGCACTTCTAAATACCGTGAATAATTATATATAACAAATTATTCAGAATTTTGAATGCATTTTAAGAATACTTTTCCCATAAACTGGTCAAAATGCACAACACCGCTGTATGCTGCCTGAAAGACGCGTGCGCACTCTGACGTAAATAAGCGCGGATGTGAAGCACATGGCGGAACATGTGAGAGACGCTCTGGATGAAAGCGCACTTTCACTCTCTGACAGCAGATGGTGCTAAACTGCAGAAATAATAATAATAATAATACGTTGTTAAAATCAAAAGTTGCAACTGTGTTATTTAATGAGCTATCATGAACTAAGACTTGTATTTTTTAAACAAAGATTAATAACTTCTGTAGCAAATGTAGCTATTGCTCATTGTGAATGTTAATGCATTAACTAAGGTTAACTAATGAGGTCTTATTGTAAAGTGATACCTATTGGTCTTTATAGTTCTTTTGCACTTTAATCTGTGTAAAACTTTTAACTTTATACATTTTTCTGTATTGCTTTATTGCATTTAAATGTTCAGTTATTTTTGTTATAAGAAAAAAGTTATTAAACCTGTTATACTGTATTATGACAGCACTTTTTTTTTTAAACTAAATTTCAATATCGTGATAACACCGTATACCGTGATAAAAGCATTAGCAATTAATCGCAACATGAAAATTTGATACCGGCATATCCCTAGTGGCCAGATTAAGGGATCTAGAATATGGTAATGCAGAATAAGGCATTAATATGTGCTTTTTAAGTACTAATAACCAGCCAATATGCTAGTAATATGCATGCTAATAAGCAACTAGTTAATAGTGAGAATCTGTCCCTAAGCTAAAGTGTTACCACTGAAGTGTTCACATGTTGGCAACACTGTTATGGGCTGCTAACACTAGACTTTATTCCAATGACTTTAACCCCTTAAGTGCCACCGGCCCACAGGTGGGCCCAATGGCGCTCTTTTTGTGCCGTCTTTTTTCTCTATCACATATTTTAGTAATCATCATAAATTATATATCATTTGAAACCTCAGAATTCATCCTGTGAAAACCATTTTTAAAACATTTTAATGGACATTGCTTTACCATGGAAATGGTACTTTAAAACATTTTAGCGGTATTTTAGAATCAAACGTTTTTAAAATCTTGACAAAATACATATATTTGGAAAGGTCTGAGTCTCAAGATTCCATATTTGGTGGTTATTTTTTGATAGAAGTAATATTGACAGAGAAATTTAGACCTTCGTGAGAGAAAAATGCATCAACAAAAATTCTACAGAGTTTGGATGGCACCCAGTGGCTGTTTGTGGTATAACGCCCTAAATAAAATCTCACAGGAACCTCCATTTTTTTCATATCAACTTCAAATTTGGAACATAACTTATTTAGACATAAGGCTTTAATTTTATATCAATTTTGGATTCAAAAATATTTTGTAAAATATTTAATTTATATAAAATAAAATAAAAAATTGGTACAGTGCACTTTCTTTACAGTAAATTTAAACTTCTATAACCTTTTGATACTTTAATATTGTGAAATGATCCCACTTCTGCAGTAATCTGCAGATTGTCTTCTTAAAAGGAGTCCAACCGTAGGTCTGTATTCCAAAGTTTTCATGAATTATAATAATGCAAGTTTGGATAGTGCACTTTCACGTCTTTGTTCAAAAATGGGGGGGGGGGGGGGGTGAAGATGTGTGAGCAAGTAAGATTGAGCAATATGCCACAGCATTTTATATATATATATATATTTAAAGCTGTTTCTAAGGAAAGTGGAGCTGACTGTATATTTTTACATTTATAACATTTATCATTCAGATTTCTTTAAATTCAAATCAGGAAGATAAAATAATCTTTTAGTTTTCTACATTTTTACACAACACTACAAAGCTGACCCCAACATTCAATCCTATTACCCTAATTATTTTGGGAAAAAATTTAATATTTTTCTTAAATTTAATTAAGGGAAACTTTGTTGTCTACAAACTAAATTGGATTTATTTTAATATATTTATGTTGTTAACCTCTGCTAGGGAAAAAATAAAATTTACAAAAACAAAAAAAACATTCACACAAACTGTGGTTTTTAGTATTTTAGTATTTAAAAATTGTGCTGTTCATATTCAAATTTTGGTACCACAGCTGCAAATACTGAAAATCTACAGATAATGTAATTAAGAGCTCATGAAATATCTAGTTTCATCTCCTGAGGTCGACTACTAGCATTTTCTTTAGATTAACCTCCTCCTTTCTCTGATCCTTTATTTAAAAGAAGAAATGATTTTGATGGTGGAAAGCAGCCTGCAATGCTCTACAGCTCGCTCAAACCAACATACCTAGCCAAAATGAAACTGGCCTACTGCACACATGCAAAAATGAGGTGAATTGTAAAGAGTGTAAACCAAAGTTCTGAAAGCGAATATGATCTTTTGGACATAAAAGTGCCGATATTAGGCTCTGTGTTTTCTCAAAGCCCCTGAGCTACGGGCTGAATTCTCTTGACAGTGTCGTTCATTATTAAACCAGAGCACATCGTGACCCCTCTGTCCTCTCATCTCAGATGAATTACATATTCCTGACTACGCCACTTTCCCTGACCCCACCAAACCACGTTAAGACACTCAGAAATCCATTACAATCTCATTCCATTCACACAATTCCTGAATGGAAACTGATGGGGACCTTTCTTCGCCAGTCTCCCATTGAAGTATTTCTTTGGAAATGATGTTTTACACAGCCAATTTGATGGGCCATCGTGCAATTGTGTGTTGTAACAGCCATGCCTTTCAGAGATAGTTCCTTTCAAGACATTTCTCTCCGCGATTGCTCCGTTTAATAGAATTAGAATGATTTCTGAAGGATCATGTGACACTGAAGAGCTTTGATCACAGCAATAATTACAGTTTACAATAGATTCACACAAAACGGTTATCTTAACTCATAATATTTCACAATATTGCTCCTTTGGCTATTTTTGATTAAACGCATGCAGTCCTGTTAAGCATTAGATACTTCTTTCAAAATCATTTAAATATGTGACCCTGGACCACAAAACCAGTCATAAGGGTCAATTTTTCGAAATTGAGATTTATACATAATCTGAAAGCTGAATACATAAGCTTCCCATTGATGTATGGCTTGTTAGGATAGGACAATATCTGGAAATCTGGAATCTGAGGGTGCAAACAAATCAAAATATTGAGAAAATCATCTTTAAAGTTGTCCAAATTAAGTT